GTGGTTGCCTTGTGGGTTTAACAGATGGTCCAAATGCATATTGATGCACGCAGATCATCTGAGTGTATTCTCTGTGATTCTGCAAGATGTCTGCAAGGCTTGGAAGTGGAGAGTTGCACTGGGCAATAGCTGGGTGGGCAGTAATTTGGTGACGGGAGCATAGGAACGTGCTAATCTTACATGCGTTTTCTGGGCAGCCTTTTCAAAAGGGGTCAGAATTTGACCTCTCAAATACTGTGGGATTGAAGGCAGGGAAATCTTGTTTCCCAGATGATTCAGCTCTGCATGAGCTGCAAGAATTGAAAGCATCAGGTAATGCAGCAAATGTCTTGCAGGCTGGCTTTCTGCATGGACTCCTGGAAGAGAAAGCAGAGGACCGAACATCCTCTGCCCTGAATTTGTGGATTTTGGGAGGGAGTAGGTTTCTTAAGAGTACTGCTTTGCATCTTTCTGACTGGCTGTCTTTAAACTCGGTCTATCAAAATCTTTTTTCCAGGCTCTGTGACAAATTTGTAATGCTTTCTGTTATCAGAAGTAGAACTTTAAGGAGAAGGAATCGTGTCCCTTACCAAAGGGGGTATGAATGCTGCGTTAGGGGACTAGGACACATTAATAACAACAAAATATTACTCCACAGGTCTGTTCTCTGCAATAAAACACAGCAAGCAAATTGCTGTAACATTAGACCGAAACTTGGCAATTATGTTTGTGTGGCAATTTGATTCTGTTCTCCTAATATACCCCTGGAGAACATCCAACTGTAGCTCTGCTCTGATCCCAAGAGCACCCTGCGAGTGCCCAGAACACTCACACGTGCGTGTTAAGCAGCAAGCTCTGACAGTGGGGTCTTCGTAGTTGTTAGAAAGCTTTGAAATCTGGTTTGCTCTCAGAGGGGTTTCCATTTGGGAAAGAGGAATTGATACCATTGCATTTTTAACTCTGGAAGAGGAAGGGAAAATAAAAGGCTTCAGAGAACCAAGCTTTTGTCTAGCCTGTGGAGCCAGCTGGGTGTCTTGTTCTGGCTTGCCAGCCTCCCTTCTCATGTGGGGCTCTTTCTGAGTGGTCGCCTTCCCTCTGTGAAAATAAAACTGCTTTTGGTGTGGCCTATGAACCCTGGTGTCCCATGACCATCTTCAGTCACAGTTGTCACGATGAGTGCCTTACCAGTATAAATGGACACTCTCCTTTCTTTGTCCCTTCACAGTCATTGTTTGAAAAGCTTTCTGCTGCTTTTGCCTTAAAAATTACTTTTGAAGTTAAAGATCCCTTTTGTTTTATTGACTGTAAAGCATGAATGATAATTACGGGACAATTGCTGTGTTAGCTGAGATACTGCAGTTTTTCTGGAGGACAAAACCCTGCTCTGAGCAGGAGCAGTTGAACTTCTTTCACTCAAACTCCAGGGGCCAGGGATGAGGAATTTTCTAAGTTTTCTGCCCAGCGGTGACAGTGGTGTCTGTGTGGCTACTGTTTATTATGCTGTAAGTAATAGTTTAATGGATTTGCATGCAATAAATTGCTATTTTGTGTTGGTGTGTGGTTTTCAGTAGTCTGTAAGAATTACTTAAGCCTTTTAATTTGCGTCATTCAAGAAGGCAATACTTTAAAAATGTGATTATGGTACCAAGGGTTTGTGAAGTGGAGGGCAGGCAGGCTTTGCTTGCTCCAAAGATTTCCTGTCTAGAGAATGTAAGTAATAAATGTGACAATTTATGGGATTTTTTTGGCTGCTTTTTTTTTTCCCTTGAGTCAGGCTTCTTTCCTTCTGCATTTGGATCATCTTAAAAATGACTAGTTACATGGTAAAATGAGAGCATACCAACTAATCTGTGGAAGTCTTCCTGTCATTTGATAACTAAGTACTGCTTTTAAATTGGAACCTGTCTTGTCTCTGCAGCAGCGTGTGTGCTTAGTTTGACTCCTGCTCCAAAATGAGTCATGCTTCAATCTCTGAAAGACCTGCTGTCTCTTGGCTGTCTTTTAAACTTTGTTTGTTTGTTTTGTTTGGGGTTTTTTCTGTTGTTGGGAAGCTGCTGTGATAGCTAAAGAGGCTGCACCATATTCTTACATACTGTGTTCCAGTTGCTGCACTGATTATTTACAATCCCCCTTGCACCGTAGGTGTTGATCCTGTCATGTGCAAGCCCCTGCTGCTTCCAGGGATCCTAGTAAAGGTTCTGTTTAAGGATTAGATGCTGCAGCCCCTATGCTGTTGTCGGTGAATTCGGTGGCTTCAGTTTGGGCAGGCTCCAGGCCCCCCATTCAGAGCAGCAATACTGAGTGAAGCCCTTGGCTAGTGGAATACATGAACTGGCTGTTGCTTGGCTGCCTAAAGGATAAAGGTTAGATGGGGTTGAACAGGGCTCATTGCCATGTTTCCCTCAGGGGAAATGGTCAACTTTGGCATATACGTAACTAATGAAATATCAACCAGAAAGGACCATCAGCCAGTAGCAGGCTGGTTTCCTGAGCATCCATGCCGTTAGATCTGGTTGCAAAGGCACCATGTGGGCAGCAATTGCTTCTCAGACCTCAATGCTTCCTGGCTGTAAACTCATCCACCTTGTCACAGGTCATGCTGGGGGTGGCCGTAGTTATTCTAGGGCTGTTCTGGAGGTGTCTGGGGAGGGGGGGAAGATGACAGTTTGGGAGGTGGTGTTGGAAAGAGGTTCTAGAAAAGCATCTGTCTGTTGTTGGTGTTAATTGTCTAATCACTAATAACAGCAGGGAACCAAAGGTGGGGGATTATTGCAGAAGTTCAGTGATGTCCTGAATGCATCTTTGTGAGTTGTTTGCTTTTAAAAGTCTGATTTGTTTAGCACTGAGTAGCTTTTGGAGATGTGTTTTTAGCCACTGTGCTTTTAAAATCAGCACACTAAAAACTCTGTTAATGCAGAATTGCAAGGATATGTGCATATGCAGACACATATTGGTTGAATTCAATTGTTACAAAATACACCCTTGGAAACCTCATTTCGGATATTGTCGGCATGTCCTTCACATTTTGTCAATTTTTTAGAAGCTGTCAGGTAGTTCTGTGTGGGAAGTGTTACAGGGCATTATGGGATAAATCCTGAAATCCTAATTCAGGCCAAACTCCCACTGTTTTCAGTGGGTGGCTTGCTGGCATTAAGGCCAACTACCCCTTAGCTATCATGGATGACCTTTCTGTCTTATTAAAATCCAGGAAACTGAGAATTGGTGCTTGTATCTTGTATTACAGATCAAACTGCAGGATTGCAGCCCTTAAAATTTATACATGCACTTGCATTTGTGAACAAGAAGTTGGTTAAATAAAAACATTTCCAGTAACTGTTCTTTAGATTCTCAGTAATCCTGGTGAAATGCCAGAGATCTGGAAACAGAAATTAGCTGGTGATTTATAGCAGTGCATAAGGAAGACATGCGTTCTGCGGGGGAAACGCTAATGTTCTGAAAGTTGTACTTTTCATAAATGGAGAAAATATAACCACTTTTATTTTAAAGTTAAAACTTTCAATTATTTCAAAATATCAGCACAAATTACAGAATTTTGCTAGTTCAGATAATTGTGTGGTGGTTCATTTTTTTGGGGGGGGGGGGGGAAATGTTTTTATGAAATGCCTGTAACTTCTGTCAGAATATTGCTTTCCAATAAGAGATAGTGAATTGCATATATTTTAGACGTTAATGATTTGGAAGTAGGTACCTGAAGTTCCTGGCTGTCACCAAATAGTTGAGATCATATGTTGTTCTCGCCTCTTCTGTCTGTGCAAGAAAGAGGAAAATGTTATGTTTATGTTGGCAACACTCAAAAAACCAAAACAATATCCCAACAGTAAAAAAATAAAAAGGCACCAAACCCTTTAAAAAAATGTTGCTGTGCAAACCCTGTCTGGCAGGAAGACTTCCCAGCAGAAGTAAGGGTTCCTTTCCTTCACCACATGAAGCATCATCATTAAAGTCTGCCTGAACTCATCCTAGTGTCATCCTTGAACGTTGTGCAAGGGGAGCCTAAGAACTTGCTCAGCTGCACTTGAGGTTCTGAAGCCCACACTGTTTTTTCTTCCTTCCCCACTTCCCCTCAGGTGGTCTCTGCCTATTCATACTTAAAGCTGACGAGGACTCTTCTGTCCCATTATATGGGCTCCAAGGCAGAAAAAAGGTTTTCCCATTCCTCCATGCCCCACTTCACCCTTTGCTGTTGGGTTTCCCATCAGGATCGCATACACAGTTCTCTTTTCTAGTTTTCTTTAACCGAGAATGTGTTTCTTGTGGTAACTGAAGTTGCAGAAGCACCTGGAAGGGATTTTTTTTTTTTTTCATGCTGTGTGCTCTTTAACTACCTGAATTGCCTTTCCTTTAAAGAGGCGATTGACTGACAGGAGGAAGACAGAGTAAACAAAGTACTCGCACTTTTTCCCCCACTCTTGTGCCTCCAAGATGGCAAATGAGGTCTGTGTGAGAACTGGGACAAGAGCTTGCATCTCCCAAGTGCCAGGACTGTACTCCACATGTTAAAACTCAAAATAAGGGTGTTACAGTATTGATCCCAACTCTTCACCAATTTTCTGCTCAAGGCTGTCACTTATCACTTCTTTTAATTTGCCTTCCTCACTAAACTGGGGCCTTGAATGCTGTTGACTAAAACCACTTGCTGCAGGATATGTAGTTTGAATGATGTTGCATATTTCTGTCCCTTAGCACCTCCCAACCACTTTTTGTAGCTTGAAATTACAGAATTGGTGAGGTTGGTAGGAAGCTCTGTGGATAGTCTAGTCCAGCCCCCCACTTAAAGTGGTGGCAGCTGGGACAGTTTGCTCAGGGCCATGTCCAGTGGGGTTTTGAGCACCCCCAAGGATAGAAACTCCCTGATATTTCTGGGCAACCTGTTCTGTGGTTTGGTTCCCCTGCAGAAAAAAAAATGTGGGTTTTTTTGTATGTTTTGTTTTGTGTTTGTTTCCCCCCCCCCCTCCCCCTTCCCCTCTCCTTACATTGAAATGGAATTTGCTGTATTTCAGTTTGTGCCCATTGCCTCTTGTCCTGTTGCTGGATACCACCAAGAGGAGCCTGATTCCATCTTCCTTACCACCTCCATCAGGTATTTATGCACAGTGATAAGATTCCCCTGAGCTTTTTTTTCTGCAGGCTGAACAGTCTCAGCTCGCTCAGCCTCTCCTCATGTTAGGTGCTCCAGTCCCTTAATCATCTTTGTGGGCCTTTGCTAGACTCTCTCCAGTGTAGTACTCTCTTGTACTGGGGAGGCAAGCTCTGGATCCAGCACTCTGGATGTGTCTCACCAGCCTTGAGCAGAGGGGAGGGATCACCTCCCGTCACCTGCCAGCAGTGTCATTCCTAACCCAGCCCAGATGCTGTTGACCTTTGCTGCAAAAGGTGCTTTGAAGGCTCGTGGTCAACTTGATGTCCACCGGGACTCCCAGGTCTTCTCTGCACAGCTGCTTTTCTGCCAGTTGGCTCCCAGTATGTGCTGGTACCTGGAGTGCCTACCTCCTGAGTGGTAGGGCTTTGCATTTTCCTTTGTTTGAACTTCATGAGGTTGGTGTTGGCCCATTTCTCCAGCCTGTCCATATCCCTCTGAGTGGCAGCCCACCATCCATCTGGTCTGTCAGTCAGCCCTCCCGTTACCGTATCATCTTTAAGCTTCCTGAAAGTGTACTCCATGCTGTCACCCATAATCTTTCCTTTATGAAGAATCCAGAGCGTTGGGCAAAGCGTTTAATGAATCAAATCTCTCAACAGTTCTTGAAAGTACATTGCTGTTCACTGGATAAAATCAAACAGAGATGTGGTAGCTTCCCTAGCACTAAAAAAACATTAAATACTGTGCCTTGTAGTTCAGGACTTCATTATTATTTAAGACTTTAATTCCTTGAATCTGACAGTTCCTGCAATACCAGCTCATGCCCTATGCTAACACCATAGCGACCTGCTATAAGTGTCACTATATACTGTTGCTTGTTGGCCAAAAGATGGGCAAGGAACACTTTCTAGGGTGGGAAATCCATGGAGTTGGTAAGAAAAGTGCAGTAAAATGAGAGAAAAATCCTATTGTAATTTAAAAGTATTGCAAAGTGAATTTTTTTTTTTTTTCTTTCCTCCCCTGAACTGTGCCCCAGAGGAAATTGGGGCATCAACTGAAATTTTCTCAATGCTTTATCTCTATACCCCTCCCCCAAAACCTACACCCTAGGCACAGTCTAAACCTCTGGGCTAACAGATGGTGTTGAGAGGAGGAGGGAGGGGGGAACAATTTGCATCTAAATAGCTGAAATAAAAAAGGGTCATGTCCCACAGACCAGCCCCACTCACCTGCTGTTTAAATCCCCCTGAGAAACAGGCAAACGCACTTAGTTTTTTAATGTCTGCGTCAGCTGTACTTATTCTCTCTGAAGCGTTCTGCCCTGGAAAAGCTGCAAACCCGTGTGTCTTGCTGAATGGATTGTGTTCTGGCCCCAAAATGATGAACTCGTAAGGATTTGGTTCTTTGAATGCGATTGACAGCTGTGTCACTTTTGTTCAGCCCTGCCATCAGAGCGACTGTTGCTGTTGGCTATCGTAATTAGTGCAAGCACTAATGGTATAGAAGAGGTTCTAACCAAATATTACCTCTTCATGAGCTTCATACTCGCCTGGCTGCGTGAGTCTTCAGAGGTGCTCTTGCCATATGGTCTTGTGGCCTCATGCCACGACATTCTGTGCTCGGTTTGTGTGTGTAGGTGAGATGGGGTTTGGCCCTAGTGACCACCACGCTGCAGCACAGCCGTGATCCTGATCCTACAGGACTGGCACAGTTTGGTGTGGGACGGCCGTGCTTAATCCTGCCTGCGGGCGAAGCCAAGTTGCTCTGGCTTTCTGATTGTGTACTGTAAAAATTTACCAGGTTAAACTAAGGCCTTGCTGCTTTGTAATGATTTTCTTCCTGAGTGTAAAGGTCTAAAAGTTGTTCTAAGTGTTGTTCTTCTGGGGTAGGGAGGGGAAAAGAAACACCTACCACTTCTGCATATTTATAGAGACTGCTCTGGGTCTACCCCCTGTCCTAGCAGCAGGAAGTAAGGTTTTGACTCTTCAGGAAGACCTTCTCAAAGTTTAAGGCTGTGGAAAGCCTGTGATAAGGAAAATCCTCCCACTTCTTCATAATCACGTGCACTACCGACACACTGAAACCATCTTACCTCATTTCCCAATGTTTTTTTGAGGAATGCGGGCAGTGGAAGAGGGCTTCATGGCTGAAGTTTAGTCTTACTACTAAAAACCAGGACGAACAAAACGTGATTCAACCCACTGCTTCCTTGGACTTCTACATTCAAATGCTACAGATAAATAACGTGAAGATAGTCCAAGTGGTTCAGGAACTTTACTAGTTTTGTCTGTTGGCATCTTCTCCAGCTCCCAGTAAGCCAGAGACATGTGGAGCTTGAGTGTGGGAGACTTGAGGGCTCAGCAGGGTAAGTAGTGGTGAAGGAGATGGCTGGGGACCCACCACTGTCTTCTGTGGGTTGACCTGATAGAATAAGACTTCTGCAGAGGAGGATTTCTATTTCTGTAATTGGAAGACCTTGAATCTCTTCTTTCTTCAGCACAAGCCTGAAGGCAAATTGTGAGGTTAACCTTTTCTGAGCTGCCCATCCTTCCCTCCCACAAGTGTTTTAGAAAAGGAAGTGGGCTCAAGAAGTGTGTCTTCATTTTCTCTTCTTGTTTAATTCCTAAGTGTATTACAATATAGTGAGTGGTAGTGACTGATTAACCCGTATGCATGAGGTCAACATGGATTTGGGCAACAACCTTGTTTATATGCCTCTGGGGAGTTGGTTTATTTATTTTTTAAATGAATATGGATTCCAGTTGGTAGAAACAAAATCCGGTGTATGCATACCTAGGGAAGTAACTAGGCAGTGCATAATACCAAATTATATGAATTCAGAGCAGTCTATTGCACTTTATAACTTTACAGCCCTTTTTTTTTTTTTTAATACTTTATATCACTTGAGGGTAATTATGTTTTATAAATGGTCATATGATGCATACTCACTGTCTGGGAGTAAACAAAAGTGAATTACTTGGGTGGTGCAAGTTATATGCACACATACACATGTGTACATACACACATGTGTATGTGAATGTATACATGTGTTTTTATGCACACTCTCTACTGTACTACATACTCCACCTCAGCCCTGCTCCTGCCATCTTCCCTTGGACCCCAGTTCAGGGATACCTGCAGGTAACTGGTTCTGGCAGCTGTGCTGGCTTGTGCAGCTGCTGTCGCCTATGGATAAAATGCTTGTTATGCAGCAGGGCCCCACAGAGCATGTGAGAGCAAATCCAGAAATGAAAGGTGATTTTTGAAATATTTATTTTCTCTCTTTTTTTTTTTTTTTTTTTTTTAATACAAACATGTAAACTGTGCAGCTGTAGAAGAGGCACATACTACTTTTTGAGAAAGGAGGCAAAAGGGTGGAACTTTGAGGAAATAAGAGGCACTCTTTGAGGGGATGTTTGCAGGTAGTGGGGTGAAGAACAGGAAAATTGTGTTTGTTGGCCTGAGTTATATGCTACTTTTAGTTTATTGTTTTTATTTCTTAAGTGGCTTGCTTAGCAAATGACTGACTGGCTTTGGAACATTTATTTCTCTATCTTCCTGGGCTCTCTAACTGGGAGGGGAACTTGTATTGTACAGACCATTCTCGTAGTTTACAGAGTTTTTTCAATCACTTTCTGGGTACAGAACTAAAAGATTTAGAAAAGATGTGCTGGATTGGAACCATGCCTAAAGCAATCTTCAGGATAATATGATTATTTGACTGATTTTTAAATTAAAATAGAATTTTAACTAGATTATTTTGAGCATACATTCAGCGCTGGTTTGTTGTTATTGGTCTAACTGCCTCCTAAATTAGAGATACCAATATTCTATTTCACCCTCTCCCTCCGAGGGCACTGATGTTAATAGAGTGTGTGAAACGATTTGTAATTATATCTAGGCATGCAAAATAGAAAATGATCTTTAAAGACCTTAGCCAAAACTTAGGTCTTTCCTTTACCTGCAGTGTCTTGTCAGAGGAAATGATGAATTGATATTTTTTTGTATTTATTTATTTCTCTGTCATGACAGGTCTTTCAAACACTTAGAAATATAGTCTGAGAAAAATGCCAATAATCTCAGCCTTTGAGGAAGGAGCAGTTAATGAATCTCCGAGGAAATATCCAGAATACAGATGCTCTGTGGGGGAGAGAAGGTTAGGAGCCAGTGGAGCAGGGGCTGGAGACCGTACACCATCTTGGATCTAAGATAGAAGCTGTCTGCTGATAACAAGATATTAAAGTAACAGACTTGTGGGCTGGTTTCCTTAGGGCTGCGTTTTGAGAGGCCATTTCAAAAAGTTGTGGTTTGGGATTTTACCACCTCTATTTGAGGTATCTCAGTTCAGCTTTGTCAGAACGAAAGCGCTAGGTTTTTGCAGATTGGTAATTTTATTAAGGATTGAAACCCTCAGGGAAGTTTCACCTATGGGGATATAAATTCAAAGTGTATTAGAAGTTTAAAGCCCATATATTGGGCTCAAATCCAACTTATATTTTTAAAGCTGAAAGGGACCTAGCACAATGGCAGTCCACAAATTTGGATGACTCTTTTATAATATTTTAATAGCACAACAGAGACTAATGAAATTTTGAGGCTTTAGTTGAAGCAGAATATTTAAGCTCCTCAGATAAAACTAAATATACATTGAAAGGTGTTCACAGAAGAACAACAGTTATTTCCAGCCTGAAGTGACTTTTCTTAAAAATAAAAGCAATCAAATGTGTGTGTATTGGGAGGCTGTGAATCAGCACCTGCAAATACCAGCAGTATAAGGATGACCAGGAAAACTCATCTCAAAGGAAACGACTGGAAAGAGAGAGTGGAAATGGAAAGAGCACCTTCATACTTGCAAAGGGGAGGGTTTACTTAAGCCCCTGAGTCTTGCTCTGCTCTGGATTGATTTTCGGGATCTCCTTTCCCACAGCCAGCGTATTTCACTTCACAGCATCCCTCTGCGAGGAGTACAAGACCAGGAATGGAGGAGTTAGTGCGGGTTG